TCCCGGTACCTTTCGTAAAGAATCATATGCCGTTGGTAGGTACTCCTTTTCTCTATCCTCAGGATCTGTAGCTTCCCATTCTTTTCTTTCTGCTTTAGATGGGAGATACTCAGGAGGTGGGTTGTAACTTAGATCGTATCCTGGTGGAGGTGGCTTTGGAGCTGGAATCTTCATAATATGATCTGGTTGCGCCTCCTCATTCTGCCATATATCGTAGTGGTGTTCTTCTTCCTCTTCCTCGCGCTCTTGTGGTGGTTTATATGGTAAGATTCTACCTTCTCGAATTGCCCGAACAATCTTCATGATTCGCTTTGCTTCATGTTTGGATGGCAGGAAACGTCGTTTAGGCTCAGGAGCCGAGCTCAGAGGCATAATCTCCTCGACGCCGCTGAAATATGGAACATAGTCCTACACCAAGTTAGTCCAATAATACAACATAGATATGAAAAGAAGTGCTTACAGGATATGGGTCGTAACCATCTTCAGGAGCTTCATTTGTTTGTATTCTGCGCAGAACCTCCAATTCCTCTTGAGTCAAGTTGAGAGGCTTGCCTGTAGAAGGGTCTGTAAGACCTGTCCATCCCTTTGGAATATCGATACTGTCTAGCAATGCATCAAGTGCTTCACCCTTTGCAGGTCGCATAATTTTCTTTCCATTGATGTCATAACCAATATGAGGATAAGAATCATAGAAAGACAATGGGATGTTTCCAATAGTATTAGTTGGCTCTTGGGCATCTGAATCATCAGAGTCGTAGACTGGGTCTATCTCTTCATAAACATAACGTTCTCCTCCATTAGCATCCTTCACCACAGTGTAGTTGGGCTTGTCATCGTCTTCGTCGGCATTGGCTTTGCTGAGGGAAGTTCTTGTCGTAGATGCGTCTCCCTCACCATTCTCTGAGGGTACCTCATCACTATCCAATGCCTCGAGTTCTTCCTCATCCAAATCCTCGTCTTCACTGTCCTCCTCTGCTGCGCTGTCGTCGGATTCATCTTCACTTTGCGACAAGATTCCTTCTAAAATTCCATCACCAAATTCTGCTTCAGATTCGACATCGGACAACTCAGGTTCATCTCGGGTAACAGCTTTGCGCTTTCGTTGATTCGTTGGAGGTGCCATTGTCACAATAATTTGCAATAATTTTGGCACTGTTTAGAATCCGAAAGCTTTATTAGATTTTTTTTCCTGGAAAAATTGCTCGAAGGGCTTATCGGAGGTTGTTATCTTAGCGTCTTTTGTTGCTCTGGAGCATGTCAGTAGCCTCTTTTGAGCCTCTCGAACCCTGCTCTACATATGAAATACAGTCAGAAACAACTGTTAGCCATCTTTGCATTGAATTGAGACCAATCTGCCTCATCAGTTATCTGAAATCACAATTCCATTTCTTAGCAAGGTGATTCTCATGGTGATGGATTCAACAGGTAAACAAAAGGATACTGCGGCAAAACGTCGGGCTTGTGATGAGTGCAGTGAGTTACCTAGAACTACCTAGAACGTATCATCCTCTGCACAACTACTGATTGGACATAGGAATCAGAAAACTTGCATGCTCAAAAGACCCTAATGGATGTGAAAGATGTGTGCGAGAAAACGTAACATGCCATTACTCTCAACAGAAACAAATGGGAAGACCAAGAAAGCGTCAATTTATCGAAACTATTAGAGATGAACCACCCAATACACAGAACAACCTACAACCTCTTCTCGATGATGGCACATTACTCCCTTTCTTTGGCGATGAACTTTACAATTTCGATGATAACGACTTCGCTGAACCATATTATACTAATTCGAATGTCAATGGATTTGATGCTGCCCAGCAATTTCCACAATCTCTCCCTCTGGACACCCCACATCATCTCCAGGCCTCAAATGTAGATGGCCAGAACACATGGCATTTTGGAAACGGTGATATGCCAGGCCCTGCTCCTATCGACTCTAGTATTATGAATATGGAAAAACTGGGCGAAACTCAACCTGAAGCCAACCAAGAAGCTGGATCATCAACGGGGTCAAATCCTTCCTCCTCTTCACCCAGTGGTAGTGATAGCCCCTTTCCAATATCAGGCGATAAATGCAGCTGCTTATCATCAATGTATTTGTCACTATCAGCATTGCAACAGTTCCCAAGTGAAATTGATGAAGCTTTAAAGGTAGTTCGTGGCGCCAGTATTGTGGCATCCAAAGCCATCTGGTGCCCCTCATGTGGTGCGATAGCGTTGATTTCACCCACGCCCCCTATTGAGGCCTTCCAAAATATAATGCTCATCGGAACTATACTACCTATCATAGCGAATGGATACGGCCGTTTACTAAAAATGGTTGATGAAGCGACTGCTGAGGCAATTGCTAAAGGGCAGACCAAAATCTTTAGGTATCTTGATTATGGTGGTCTATGCGAGCACCAAAGACCAATTAACGAGACAGTAGAATGCATAGGCAACGCATTATCCATAGCAGATAGAGAAATGCAACCAGCAGAGTGGCGAACTACTGTAAGAGCTTTGTTGCGAGCTGACATCTATGGCCATGACCAACCTGGATTCAAGTACAAAGGATTAAGAGATCTCGTTTCCGAGATGGAGCAAAGACAGAACGCTCGTCACAATATACTAGATGCACAAGTCGCTGCGGGCGTGCGATCGCTAGAGCATGACCACTTCCCAGATTTGAAGGTTGCAGATTTGACTGTCAGGCAATGCTATGGGGAGAGAACAAGGGGTTGCTTGGAGATCCTCAAAATGGCTAAGATGGCTGTAGATAGCATTGTTATTGCATGAGCATCAAATTGTCTGGTCATTTGTGCAGCTGACTGCGCAAGCTACCCTTTCTTATGCTGGCATTTTGCCATTCGCTTCCGAAATTTGATATTCGCTTGCTCAAATCAAGGTTGACCACCGAACGACGGTACTAATTTCTTGGATTTGGGATATCCAAGGGCCAAGAGGATGTCGTGAGCTTGTGTGAGCTTGTTCAGGAATTCACTGTGGAGTCCTAATCTTTCATGAGCATGGCTGCCAGAGATTTGACATCCCAGAACTCTATTCCGCCGTTCGCCTCAACTGCACAACACAACCATAAAAGTGTTGTAAAATATTGCGAAAGGAAGCCGACTGACGAAGGATAGGTTCATAGTTGGTTAATGGACCCTTCTTCACAATGCCAGCTCAACTAACCCTGCGTCGGTTGATGGTTTAATTCCAACAAAATCGTCTTATTTCTTGACAACCCGCTCAAATGTCCGGAGGCTTATGATCGAAGACGTTCAGATGATGCAATGGCGTATGGAACACACATCAAATAATGGCTTGGCTTTCTATGCCATTGTGCTACACAAAAGTGCTAAGTTTTTATCCGATTTCTCAGGTGTAGGACATAATTCCTTCCAAGAGTATTCATGATTGATAGACATTGCCCTGTATACTTCCTAGTAGTTTGCTTGGGTTGATCTGATACTCATTGTTTATCCATGTTCCATGCAACATCTTCCGGACATTAGTTGTACTCTGTAAGGTTGGCAAAGGATAGGATGAACATATTGAAATCAGCTTTGAAAGTTACATATGAAACTAGGTGTGGCGGCAGATCTTGTGTATATCGGTGAATCCACACCGAAATCAAGGGCTTGAAATCGTATTAGACCTACCTATCCATCGAACAACGACCACCCCTTCCTTAATCCTCATTTCCTCGATATCATGTACAGTATACTCTGTATTCAATAAATTCCACACTCCAGAACAATCTCGCGCCTCGGTATTCGGAAAAGCAGAAACATAATCGGAAATTATGTATACGGTAATACAGACAAATGCTTAATCACCTTTCACCTCGTGCCGTAACCGAGCCGAGCCCTGCCTTATGAACGTCCCCACGCCCCGTTTCTGTGGCGCCATGTAGCCGAAAAAAGCGGTACACCAAATCTCTTCAAGGGAATCAATCAATCATACATTGAAAATCTTTACATTGCAATATCCTATGTTGTTATCAATAGGTATATACTAAATTAACCCCTCATAAATACGTCTCTATACAAACTCTCAATTCGATTTCATGATAATAATCTGATCCGACATGAAATATCAATAAGAGCACTCGTATATATACAGTACATAATTTTCTATACTTTGTATTTTTTGATCTCTCCTGCTGGACTGGACTGGACGGTGGATCCGATCTGATCTCGCTTGGCCCCTGATAACTAATCTAATATCATAATATGTATGTAAGTTACCTACATGTAACGGATCTTCATTTCCACCGCTCGTTGAAGTTTTCACTGCCGAATCCACATTTTCTCACTCTCTTCATCCACATACCTAGGCTAGGTAGGTAATAGGTATCCGTATGCAGCAAATAAGATACATGGGATATATCCATAGCTACCTAGGTATCCACAGAAACTTGATGGGTACCTAAGTAGGTAGGTAGGTGTTTGAAGAAAGAAGTCGAAAGAGAATATGTACTGATGTGGAGAGATTGGTTGGTTTGTTTTGAGTGTGTATCGTAGATGTGTAGATGAATGGAGAGTTGGGAGATGGGAAATGGGAGATGGGAAATGGTATTAAAATAAATACAGTGAGTGGTATGGATAGAAATGATCGATGAGCAAAAAGATAGCGACGTCGGCATGATTCGAACATGCGCCCCCGAAAGGAATTGATTTCTAGTCAATCACGTTAACCACTCCGTCACGACGCCTTGTTTGGTTTGTTGAAGGGTTTGTTGGGGTTTGAAGATATATTGGGGAGAATTTGGGATGGTAAGGGAAGATATATTTGTTTTGCTACTGTAATGGCATTGAAATCGAAATTCCACGCCGTGGATATCATTTATTTTCCCAAGCTATTGCTCTTTTCCTGTTTGACTTCCGATTGCCTTTTCCGTCCCTTTCGTCTCGTTGTCTCATGGGTCATTCACTTGTAATTCCTCATCCATCATCATCATACTACCTAGTACTCACCCTTACTCGTCTCTCGCCCACACATCCGCATTCTCAGTCCCACTTCTCCATCAACTTATTCCCCAACACTCCATCGGGGAAATCCCTCACTCCCAAATGTGTCGAATGAGCCCATGGTTTCAAAGCATTCTCCTGCTCGATGGTGTGCGAAAAACATTTACCTATCAGCACCGCCAAATTAGCACCTCGACTTTTATTTTCCCCCATGCCTCCCAAGATCTCCAAACCACATCCAATATCCACAATCTATCCTTCCCAAACATCACAGAGAAAGATACAGAAGAAGAAAAAGGAAAAGGTAATACATACTCCACCCCAATCTCGGCCACTCCCTCACCACATTCTCAATCGTCCCCTCGTGCACCAACTGCGCATTCTGCCCCATATTATCAAACACCGTCGCCAACTGCACCAACCCCCCAACCCTCGTCTGCGTCCCCACCTCTCCCAAATCCTGATGTCGAATAATCCCCTCCACAACCAATTCCCGCTGTTCTCTCGCCGCCCCCGCATCCCTCAACACCCCATCTGCAATAAAACCCCCGTAGAGATCGAAACTCATAAGCGTCTCCTGCAAATGTCTCGGCACGGTTCCGATATCGTGCAGAAGCGCCGTGAGCGCGTAGCTTTCGAGAAATTTACTCGAGGGGTTGATCGATGTCCAGTTTGGGAATGCGTGCGTGAGAATCGCGACGCCGTAGTGGTAGACGCGCATAGAGTGGTGGAAGGTTTCTTGTGGTAATTCACTGCGTGCGTATTCCTGAACGCTCTTTACGAGGGAGGATGTAGGGAAGGGGAGATCGGATAGTTGGAGCGCGAAAGCGGGGTTAGAGGCTGAAGGGGAGGATTGGATGAGCTTGGAGAGAGAGGCGGGGACGGATGTCCAGCCGTAGGATTCGATTGCGCGTTGGCGTTCGTAGGTCATGGTTTGGATGGTTTGGATAGTTAAGATTGATGGTTGGAGTTAATGTTTTGTAGTGTATGTATAGGTATTTATGTGTGTAGTTAATGTGTCAATGGTAAATGAGATGTTGAAATAGAGAAGATAGTACCTAGACATCAATTGAATAAAAGGGAAGCTCGCCTTCTTATGGATGGAATGAGGGGTTCCAAGGTCTAGAAGCTACCTAGTCCGGAGAATGTTATGCCAATCTCATTATTCACTTAGAATGTTTTACAAGCAAAGCTATAGTTCATATGCCGAAGCTTACGAATGCATATTCCTATACCTACCTACCTACCTAGGCACTTATTATTAAACGTAATGTACCTATTCGTCATCGAGATCATTTTCCATACATATTGTGTACTGACTGGCACGACTGGTAATTGCAATGTGCAATTGGTGCCAAAGCTACCTACTACCTAGGTACCCCACATGCCGTCATTTTATCCCACCTCCTTCACTAGATCCACCCCTGTCTTATATCATACCAGCGATCGGATAAGCCATTAGTAACTACATATCACGCTGCGAGGTGCTTACTCCAACTTAGGGTTGATCGCGTTGCGTCTGTAAATACTACCTACATACATCGATCGGGATTTGAAAATTCGGGATTCAAATCTGCATCTTCAAATGGCGATTGACCTGACCGTCTGATGGATTAGTCGTAGTATCAACCAATTTTGCAAATTAAACATGTTTGGGTAATGAAAGGACTAATTCGAATCGAAGGATAGGTCATCACCACCAAGAAGCTTGAAGAAAATCGTACGATCGTAAAATCTTGCCTCAATTCGGGCTTTCGTATGAAGACTATTTAGGTATTGTAAGAGAAAGACTTGGATGAATAATATCCATGCTACTGCAATACCATCATCCATACATTCATCTGAACCATAAAACCAGAACTCCACGGTGCCATGTCATATTCTTACGCACCGCTCCATCATGCATAGCATAACCTCATTTGAGGTGTAATAATCCATACAAAATACCGAACTCCAAGTGCATGTTTCGTTTCCATCGTAATGGTATAAATGCAAAACAAGTAAAACAACCAAACTCCAACCCAATCTGATGCAACTCCAATCCATGTACGCTAAAAGAACATTACAATTCCAAACTATGCCCTTCTCCATTTTCTGGAACAGGAACCAGTGGTTCTTGAACATGCTCCTCCAACCCATCATCAAAGGATTTGATATCGTCCTCATCTATTGTACCGACAAAAGCACGCTGAACGAAGCTGAGCCAAACTCTATTCTTCTCTTTGCGATGGTGCTTCTTTTTCTTGTGCTTCTTTTTCTTTTTCTTTTCTGCATCGATATCATGATCCTCGGTATCTTCAATGGTTTCGTTCTCCGAGATAGAAATTTGTTTCTTGTCATCGTTCTCACTGCCCTCGTCATCTTCGTAGACATTGGATTCTCCCAGAATCTCTCCATCCTTAACACGATCCCCCTTTTGTGGCTTATACTGACCAATCCTATGAGCCAGCTTGAGATAGTTCTTGACTGTCATATCTTTCAACTTATAAATTGGATCCGTGAAAGTATCATACTCGACTTGATAATGAAAAGCGTGTGGGTTTGGGTCATCGTCCTTTGGAACCTTTCCGCCATGTTTACCCTTACGCCATTTCTCCACGTCAATCTCATCGTTAGAACCTTCTGATTTCAATTCAAGATTGTTGATGTAGGTCAAATTAGCAAAATATTGAGTATACCCAAGTAACGTTAGACTTTGAGGAGAATATGCCGGTCCCGGAGGCGCATCTTTTGAAGGAGGGGACGGAATTATGAATCCTGGATTGGACGGCGTCGGGGTTTTGAACTTCTTCTTGTCTTTCTGGTGCTTCTTCTTTTTCTCGGTAGAAACATCGCCATTGTCTGCGTAATTCGAATCTTCACCGGCATCGACGTTGAATAGATCTTCTTCTTCTTGATCAAGCCAATCAATTTGCTCGTCATTATTCACAACTGAATTGGACCACCTCGGCACATCGTCCAACCCTGTGATATTGTACTCGATGATCCGAAGAGTAGGAAAATAATTGGGCACAATACTCGGTCCAACGTGTGTTACCACAAATCTTTCACCCCATGGGCCTCCAAACTTCTTGAGCTCTTTCTTCTTCTTGTCTCTCTTCTTGTCCTTCTTACTCTTTTTATTTTTCTTGGGATCTTTGTTCGGTTCTGAGTAGTCCAGTTCTTCCTCGCCAGTGTCCATGACAATCGGTAGGTGTTTTGGATTAGGTAATCCAGACCAATCTTCTCGAAGATCGCCCAAGTAATCTCCAGCAGATGAAATTGTAAACTCATCTTCCATTAGCGCGCGAGGAGGCGCAACAGATTTACCGTCAAATAACAAGAGATCAATATCTTTGGTGTCGTGTATCATGAAATGATCAATGTTCATGTGCCCAAATAAACCTCCGATAATAATATCCCGATACTGTTGGAGCCACAAGGTATATTTTTGCCAACAAGTTTCGTCCCAAAGTGATTTGCTGTCTGTTCGAGCAGGTGGTACATGCCCAGTGAGGATAACTTTCATCCCGCGGTCGCGCATAAATTGTAGTTGAATTCGAAGCCATTCCATATGTTCGTATCCGGGTTCTGAGCGCAATGCGCAACCATCCACAGCGGCATTGTGGCTAAAAAAGTATAGAGTATTAAGACTGAAGACGGCCAATTTCTTAGGAATAACCTCGACATAATACCATCCTCCCCGTTGGAAACCGTGTCTCTGTTCTTCTGGTATGAATTTATCCCATATATCTGTATACGTCTTCAACCATTTATTCGGACCCGAAAGTAAAATGTTATGTGGAAGGATATCGTTGTTGCCAAATGTTGATATAACCGGAATCGATAAATCGTGCCCATCGCCAAACGTCTCCAGGAATTTATCTGCGATCTTTCTATTCGTATCGAGGACCTCATCTTGAACTCTAGGAATCTTTTCGTCGCTATCATGTCGTGCACTATTTTGAATCAGCATCTCTCCTCGCACAAAGCCAAATCGTCATTGCGACGATTGGCTGTTCGTTCAAGCAGAACCAACCTGTCCCCTGTCCATACAACAAAATCCACGTTATCCCTCACATTTTCCTTTATCCATTTAAAAGTCGCATCTATAAGGGTAGGAGGTGTATCGCAATCCGAGGTTTCCGCTCCGTATGTGCCAGCAGTTCCTTTGCCTCTATGGCAGGCATCATCTTCGTCGGTGGAAGAGAATACTTTGTAGTGAGGATCTTGATGCAAATCTATAATAAATGAGCATCGTACAGGAACATTGAATGGCGAAATGATGATTTAACCCCACCTGTAATGTGCAAGAATCTACCATGCAGACGTTTGGAGGCAACATGCTGATGGTGTGTAGTATCCAGGTCCTCCAATGGCACTTGCAGGCTCGATTGGGTTGTACCGAGGGGTTTAGCAACGGCAGCAGGAGAAAATTGAAGCAGACAAGCTGCTATGCATATTGCGTGTGAACGCATATTTTCAAAATCAAACTGGAAAAGAAGAAAAGAGTAGGTATATCTTAGGAAAAGGAAATCATTCTCATGTATAGGTAGTATATAGAGATTTAGGAAAAAGGATTCCAAATTCTTCCCAAGGAAAAAAAAAGATGAGTTGTGATTAATGACTGACTCCGTTTCCCTGTCTTTTTATGATTAAAATCGAGTAAATTGATTGTTGGTTGCTCCCCCCCTCGTGGAAAGATTCGCGACCGAATGGCGGGTGCCTGTGCGATTCAGAAGCTTGGTTTCTTTCTGAGAGAGCAGAGAGATGAGAGATTTAATTTTCTCTTGAGCCACGACGATAATGGACCGTGAACTTGTGATGACTTGTGTCGTTTTTCCAGTATGATGAATCTTTGTATGTTTGTTGGCTTTACGAAGTTTCCCAGCACTCTACAGTCGAAGGAATGAAAAAGTTTCCTTGATTCATATTCATATACTCACTCACTCGTAATCCTCCGTCCATACTAACTTTTGACAGTTATGACTGTCCACTGCCCACTGCCCACTGCCCACTGCCCAGTAACTCTCAAGGTGTTTTTTCTCATGTCTCACTCATCTCACTCGTCAAAGAGTCAATTGGCAGTAGGTACCTAGTTATAGTTACCCTTCCAAACGATTTATCCAACCAATCATCAGTACACGTGGATGAGTCTCGAGTCACTTTTGGTTTGGATCACCGTGTGCTAAAGGCTCTTCTAAGATAAATCCCTTTCAGTAGATCAGAGCTGATCGAGAAGAGGAGAAATGTGAAAGCTTAAATCAGCACATTAACTCACGCGACAACCCTTTTCCGCCAAAATGACGATATCGTGGATGTTTATGACCGTTAGACAGATGCAGCCTGCATCCTGATGATTATGTTTAAGAGTGACACGTAAAGTAGTGCGACGGTTAATGCGCGAATTTAATGTTGACGATAATGTTGTGACTACCTCTGTCTAGGTACATAGATAGTATTGTGTAGGTAGGTACTTTGTTATCCAGTTCAGTCCTCCGTGCCCTCCAAACTTCCGTCCAAGATGATTCCTTCTTGACCCCTTTTCCATTACCGAGACGTAAATCTACTCATTAATGAATGTTATTTATGCTGTAATGCAATCTTGACATCTTCAGGTGAGACGAGACAGATTCCAGCATGCTTTGTAGAACTTGAGATGCGCTATCAAGTGAATCTGCATGAAGATTTCCAAGTACTTCCACTACTGTTGATATCCATGTGGACCCTGATTTTCCGTCCCTAAACTCGTGGCGCCCGAACCGCCACAACATTTTTGAAACTTTTAGATACCTACGAGCCTACCTGAATACCAAGCGGACGGACTTATTGGCGATTTTCTATCGTTGAGGGTTCTTCAAGTTTTGGTATAAAGAATAGTTCAAAAGTGTCCCAACCACGATAATGTCTTACAGCAGTAAATAGTCGTCCATCGTTGTTCTACTATGGATATGAATATGATGTACAGGCTCAAACGGTGTACTCTTATGGAGCAGGCAGATGATCGGGATTTCGGATAATACACGGGAGGGCGTCGATCCATATATCTCAGCTGGTATCCAACCAAATTTCTTCAAAACTGCTAGGATTGATACAAGATCTCACCACAGTCATTACTGACAAATAGATATTTAGATAGACGGTTGTCATATATCAAAAAATGATATATCGGCGTCGTGACGGAGTGGTTAACGTGATTGACTAGAAATCAATTCCTTTCGGGGGCGCATGTTCGAATCATGCCGACGTCGAATTTCTATTTTGCCATTTTATCTTATTTTATTTTTGCAAAACACAGGAGTTATCTATTACGGATATGCACATCTTCTCCGAAATACCACTCATTCACTGGAGTGGATTAGGATGTGGCAAACAAGAATTACAACTTGAGAGTTTAGATTCGAAACACAAACATTTTTCAATTTTTCGATGGTGTGAAATATCAACACATGCTCTTGAAGCACTTTCCGATTCAACATGCCACACACGTACAAAAATACCCTTCTCCTCACGCTTACAGAATCCTCATGGTATCACTAGCTTTGAATAGGGCACATGGCGATAGTGCTGCAAGATGATGGAGACGGCTTGTATCAAGGCATCGATTACACCATCCGATCCACTCCTCAATCAAGAAATTCACATCAAAAATGCTAATTTGCTAGTATAACTATTATAATTATTATTAACACCACAAATATATACAAAGCTGTTGGGTGTGTGTGTTATGATCATATATGATTACACAAGCAGCCTCTACCTTCCAAACTTCTTCAACTCGAGATATCTCAATGGTGGGAACACAATGGCCGTGAAGCCGATACCGAGCCAATCTCCAATGTCACCACCATATTCACCCCCAATCATCAAAGCAATAGGGCCAGTGTACCAGATTTGATACATGCCTACGATCGCGCCAGCAAATCCAATCAGGAATGATAAGAGGGCTGCATATCCGATTGGTAGCTTGGTTCTGTCGTTATAAATGGACCAGTCGAACGATTTGCCTTGGAGTTTGTGGAAGATGAAATATTCTTCGAGACTGATGGTGATCCAGGGGCAAATCCAATATGCCATCATAGGGAGGAAATTCTCAAAGACAGTGTAAAGCTTGTTGCGACCACAGACGGAAAGGACGAGCTGTGGTGCTGGTGTTAGTATTATGGACAGATGAAAGTAGGATGGTGTAGAATGAGCTTACCTCAACTGCTGTGATGAGAACACACCAGAACCAACGAGGGATCTTGTTTGCCCAGCGTCCGAGTACCTGAATGGTCAATGCCGCACTGTAACTACATGGTGCATTGTTGGTGATGGAACCAAGGGCAAGAATAACGACGCAGAAGCCGCCGAATCCTCCGAGTCTGCCATAGCACTCATAGAGAAGCGCACCAGACGAGATATCATAGGCGTCGCTCCAGGCTGGAATGTTTGGAACTCCAGTAGCGATACCCACTCCAACAATGTTGGCAAAAATTACAGAGGTCCAGATGCCAGTCCACGTGGATGCAAAAGTCATCCATTTAGGATAATCTTTGGGGTAGTAGACGTAAAAGTCGGCACTGATGGCGGTAAATCCAATGATACTAGCGAATATCAAGGCGAAGAACGAACAACGGTTAGCGTTAATGGTTCCGGAATCACCAACGGAGACTGCGTGGGTATCGAAATCTCCACCAGTGCAACCGATAAGTACGAACATAACAACTGCTTGTGGAATGTATCCAAATCTATTTGTTTGTGAGCATTCTGAACATCAATCTTCTAAGAATGGTGGATATGTTTACCTCTCGATTTTGTTCAAGTATTCGATACCGAAAGTAGCGACTAAACCGATGCAGATTGCGGCAATGACACATCCAACAGCCAGACTCAAGCTCCCTCCGTTGACGGCTGTAATCATCTGTCCAGTGATGATACACCCAATAGTACCGAAGCCTACTTGCTGAACAACATTGCAGCAACATGCAATTTTCGAGGGCCAATAACCCATGAAATAACGTCCAATAATCTATCAAAGCGCAAATATTAGCACCTACTCGAACAAAATAAAATTGATGAGACATACCTGAGTTCTATTGCCACTTTCTGGTCCATAGGTTGCCATATACGCGATTGATGTCGAGGCGAGCGCATTCGCAAAAATGACAATGCAAATACAATCTACCCAGCCGAGTCCGTAAACCAAGGGTCCGAGCAGCCCAACAATAATGTTCATGGCTTGCAAATTGATACTGAACCATAGCGAGAACATGTGGAAATAGTCGTGAAGCGGACGCGGCACATGTTTCTCGTTGTCAGCCACACGGGTGATACCACGGGCTTCCACTCCCCAGATTTTCTCCAATTTGACACTCCAGTAGCTCAAGCCTCGCTCGGAACCAGGAAGTCGAGAACTGTCATTCTCAGCATCGATGGTGGATTTGCCATCGCGGTCTGTGGAGTTCTCGGCGGCGGTATGGACTTGTACACCCTTCTCGATATCATGCTCTGTAGCAGCCTCCATTGTGAAAATTTCTCAAGGCTCAAAGTCGACAAACAACGAAGAGGAAAAAAGTTTGACAATTGAAGGGTGGAAATGCCGGCAGGATAAACATCTACCATGCCACTGGAATTGAGCTTATTTCCTTTCGTCGATACTCCGCCAGTTCGGCGACCGCACCTAAAAGGTTTGCATTTTTGGCCGCCTCCCACGTTAATTGAGTGTGTAGTGTAGAGCATGCATTGCATAAATGGGGTATGGACAAAATATGGTATCCCGATTAGACAATACATGCGATAGTTCGCGAGTGGGCACATCGCTTGAAGAGATTTGACATTTAGCCGTGGTGCGGCTTATGGGGCCGATCCATCGTATTTCCAGGGGTTTGGCAGGGTTCTCTGGGCCAGACCCCATACACGGGGTGGCAAAGAGATAAGTGACATCTGATTTCAACGCGTATGAAATCTTGCTACAATCTAAAAAGTGGATTTGGCATTCTACAAAGTATTAATTTTTATTGCGGTTGACCCATCTAGTCGAGAGGTCCCTCGACAGGCGAGCTCGCAAGCTAATTTCTACCCCATCCCACGGTGAGAAGATGTATTTCTAATTCTTTAATCCTACTGCAAAAGCACAGACGTGACTTTGCGGAATTAAAGATCACGCTGTTTGACAGCTTCATTTCGATCATTGAGCTAAATAGCAATGATCAAAGACACCGAGGCTTGATACAAGTGATGACAATATCAAGGAGACTGGTATTTGTCTGATACCAGGAGTAGTTTTTCCGTTGACATTTCACCTCGACTTCCTCTCTACTAGTGTAGCTTGCAGGGTAAAATTTGTCCAATTGTTTGAATTGTACAGGGCGCAATGTAAAAACATGAGTTAGTTCCTCAAAATATCTTCTCGATCGAAGTATCTCCCTAATATTGCACAGCTCCTAATCCATAACAGCGCTTGCTAAATGATTTAGCACACAAGTCTTTTAAAAGAGGGAACAGCAGACCCTCGAATCTCCTCGGTAAATCTCGGATCTTTGATTGAGATGATTACATCATGTGTCTCAATTTTGTGTGTCTTACTTCGTCTGTTCGCGCAATCACCGCCTCGAAGATTCCACATTCTTTTCCCAGACTCATCAATAGGAAAGGCTAGTTGTGTTTGTAACTACAGACACTTTTTATCACAATTAGCTGACATGGCGTGACATTTTCTCTACTAGATGCCGATTCGCTTTCTTGTGACGACTGCAGCCAAAGGATCTCAACACTACTGCTCGTCTCAGATTTCTGGTTCAGCAATGGTTTCTGGGAACTGATATTTATTTACTCATCTTCAATTTATGTAAGGAGCTCTCGAATACTTGTTTATGTAGCTTTGGGATATATTATCGACATGGTATTGACCATTTCATATTTCCTACGATGCTATTCTTATACCTCTCCAACCTATCCAGATTGTCTACGCAGTCTTTGATTCATAACAATTGCGATTCCACAAGAACTCTATCACCTACCTCAGTTGGTATATTGGCGAAAGCTCTACCTTAATTTTCGTGGCTAGCGTTTCATATCTAAGGCTCCTGCAGCTCAAACCGTGAGATTAGGTTCTTCTACGCAGAATTCCTCGTCGAGGCAGAGATCATAATTCAAGATGCAGGAGATTAGGATGGTGAATCGGGTTCATTATGTGGGGAGTATGGATGATACAGGAGGTGAGTATCTTTACGAATGCTGAAGAAGAAGAAGAATTGGGGGATGAGACTGTGAAGATGAATGGTAGACAGGCTGATGCTGTTACAAGACATAATGGCAATGCTGAGGGAAGTCAGATTTCGTATGTGGTTCATCAATCAGAGTACAGGGCCACGCCACGTCGTATACACAGTACTATGTTTCATACATGGAACATGTAATACTCCTTCGATATGACGACTTCGCTTCAACCACACACAAAGTCAACACTCGAGCAAATTCTGTGTACCCAATTCATTCAAATTACTACTTCTCAATAACCAAAATCCCATAATTAGGAATCTCCCTATAACTCTCCAACTCCTTCAAACTAGCTCCTCCCTCCCCTTCCCCTCTCAACCACTTCTCCGGCACCTCCGTAACTCCCCACTCCAACTTCCCCTTCAACCCCGCCTCTCGCGCACACTCCTCATAAACCTCCCTCCTCAAATGATAACACTCAAAATCCAAATCCCCCACCGGCGTCTCCCCATGCACCCGAAAATAAATCCCCTCCTCCACATCTCGAATATGGCTATACACCAAATACCCGCTTCCACCCTGACTCATCGGTCTCGCGCTCGCCTCCGCATTCACCGACGCCATCGGATCAGAAGTCGGCGGCACCGTAACCGATACAAACCTCCCCCCTTCCTTCAAATTCCCCGCAATGTTGCGAAACATATCCACCAATGCCTTGCGATCACTCGCGTAGTTCAAAAGCCACGCCGCAAACACGATATCGAAGGGTCCATCTTGATACTTCGTCGGAACGGAACAGTCGCCCTGGATGAAGGAGACGGCGTTTCCGAGACGCGGCGCAGAGTCGATCATGACGGCGCTGATGTCCACGCCGAGAACAGACTGGGCGCCCCAGGATACGAAGGGATAGGTGTAGAACCCGGTGCCGCATGCGAGCTCGAGGACGCGTGCTTCCTGAATGTAGGGTGTGATGGCGGCATGCACATTTTCGCGCTCGATGAGGGCGATGGAGGCGGTGCGGATGTAATCGTAGGGGCCTTGGATGGTGTCGTATTGGTGGCTTGAGTTGGCCATGGTTGGTGGGGATGCAGGATGTATGGTTCTGGGTTTGAGTTTGAGTTTTGATGAGGGGTAGCGAGGGGGAGGGAAGAATGAATGTGGGTCGGGGAAAATGATCTTCTTCTTTCTATCGTAGGTAGCTAATGATCTTCTGTAAAATAACTATAATAGTTTGTAAATGAAGATCTCGAATTCAAGTATGAGATATCGATCGAGAAGTCCCACTCATGCATTCATTCATAAGCTTCGATATTCTTCTTTTGCGTCTCTTCTATGCGTATTCTTTAACGGGATTGGGAGAGCGGATCTCATTACTCGAGATTCACTATTCAGTCCCACTTCAGAGCCGTTCGGGAGATGTACCCATTGAGGTACATACCCATGTGGATTATCCCTTGCCGTCCCGCCTTAGAAGTCTCAACCCTTGTTCGTATTCCACAATTCGGACAAGGATAGGCAACGTGGCAAAGGTGGGATGATAAAATTTCTCTGAGTGTCGGTAGAGTGTTTCCGAGATGGATGTAAACTATCGAACTCAGTGAAGCTGTTGCAGTGCAAAAAAGAGCAGATGGAACATATCAGCATTTTGTACATATCGCCAAAAGAGTGAAATTAATTGTATGGGATAAAAGCAAGGATTGGAGCCATAAGTCTATCAAACACCAACTCCTTTGAAACCGCCGTACCATAAGTACATATTGTACAAAAATGCATCATTATACACCGCATACCGCACACCAAAACCAATTCGTAGAAGATCCAAGTAATCACATATAGCGCAAACAAAGATATAAAGGAAAGCAAAAAGATAAATCAATCAAAGGAGTAGGTATTGAACCACACCCGATTTGAACGGATAACCTTTCGATCTGGAGTCGAACGCGCTACCGTTGCGCCAGCGGTCCTATTAATCAATTTTGTATAAGGGATAGTTCGACTGTTGTACCTTATATTCGCGGGGTTTCAACCTCTAGTGGTTCGTGGTGTAATTTGACCATCAAGAAATCCGTGAGCACTCACGCGGTCGCGAGTGAGATCTTCGTATTCGTCTTCAAGAATGGGATCAAAACTGTTGCGGTTTTGATTAGTAACGTTTAATAGTTCAGTGTAAAGATGAAGGATATGAACAGAGAAGAGAGACGTAACAATGACACATACCCTTGCTCACCAACGATTTCCTTGGTGTACCTGCATAGTTGTTCTAATTGTGTTACACATCCTGTAAGGGACTGACTGTAGCCTAGAAGTTCATGTTAAATTACGTCTTGGGAGGGTAGACAAATGCCCTCAAATTTTGAAGAGCCTTGGTGTCGGAAGTATAAAGTACGTACTGTAACTATAGATCTGAGACCATTTTTTCCCTCCGGGCAAGTTATTTGCCGTCTCACTTGCATCATTGTTTTTCTTACTCTTGCTTTTCCGTTTACTTCGTTTCGACTTAACGGACACACTACTAGATGTTGCAGGAACATTCATGGATTCCAGTAGAGCCATATGGTCTAACAAACGTTTTCTGGCGGATGCTGCGGATGGAAGATATCGCTGTTTTTATGATTAGTATCAGACATTTAACTTGTCGGACAATAAAACTCACAGGAACCTTCCTATCACCTCGCAATGCCCCAGCCAGAACATACAAGTTCATGAGGATACAGGCGACGGCATCACGTCGAAAGGCGAGTAGCGATTCAGATGCCTGCTCGTTCTCGGAAAGATAATGTGGTTGGAAAAAGAGTGAGGACTGTCGTACAGAGACAAGGTACTCGAAAAACCGTTCGCAGGCATCGATTAATGCCGAATAAGGAAGTGGATTAAAAGGGCCGCGAAGTCGAATTTCATGACGAGTAAGAGCCTGCAAAGCGTCAGCATGTTTACAATTAGGAAACCAAATGTAAACTTTGAAACATACCAATAGTTGCCGTATCCTAACGAACCCTTCTCTCAGGCGACCTTCTAGCATTTCTTGAAGGGTGTTAGTCCTGTTTAGATGTTATGGGCAAAAATACGTACCAGACTGTTGCACATCTTTCACCCCTGGCTCTTCTCCGTCTTCGTAATACACGTATTTTGCCACAACACCTGCATTAATTAATAATAGATGCAGCAATCCTCATGACAAAACTTACCTCTGTAAATTATACTTGAATAGATGAGCATCGACGACAACGCCTTCCTCAATTCATGCCTCGCGACAAATGGCCATAGAAACCAATTAACAATAACAGCAGATACGGTACCAATCAGAAAAGCAACTCCTCGAGTCCAAGCCACAGTAACAACGGGGATATCATTCGGAGCTGTATATGCACCCAGTGAAACAACTACAAATGATATGCAACCTACAATTCCAGATCGAGGATGGGGACTTTGCGTGAATCGATACATCATAGGTATCATGAATATGGCTGCAAATACAGCCATGACGTATGGATTTCCATTGTCAGCACCATAAGCTATACCACCCCATACAGCGCCAAGTATAGCACAAAAAGCACGAGTTATTAAATCTTGGAGATTTCCACCAACTCTGTTAGAAATTAGTTCAAGTCATATCCAAATCGACGATTTGGTACTCACCTTGGATGCATCATTATCCAGACCATTATAACTGCCCACCAACTTTCATATTTGTTCCACCAAATTCTACTCTGACTTAACCATGCTGGCACAGATAAGAGAGAAGTTACTATCGCAACTTTGAACGCAAATCTAGTCTCGAAGCCTTGTAAACGATGAAGGACTTTCCAAGTTCTGTATCTTAACCTCTTCTGTCTGGAAGCTTGTGAATTCTTGTCCATGGCTATTTCTTCTTCTTCGGCATATGCCCCTCTAGTATCAGTAGGCTCAAGATCGTCATAATTTTCTTCTTCCTCTGTGGCCCTTTCTTTCCGTGGAGCAGGTTTATAAACATTTGCCATTCCTTTCATTGTCTTGGCGAGTTCTCTTTGACTTCGGAAAAAGAAACCTGCTGTTACACCACCTCTGTCGTGTCGAACTTGTCCATTTGTACGTTGGAGAGCTTTGCCGAATGGATAAGATGGCAGGTAAATTCGCCAACCAGGGCGTCTCTGCTGCATTTCGTTCACTTTAACGAGAAGAGCTTCAGCTGTATTTGCAGCTTGTCTGATAGGATGGACAAATAAAAATATTTCGACAACTTCAGGATGGTCAGAATATGTTGGAGGCAAATTTGGGTTCTGGAGAAGCCTATGATTGTTCAAGTCAGTATCAATGGACGGTACAATTTGTTCCCACATTTTTCAATTTTTGGAGAGCGGCGAACTTCCGAACATAGCCGATAGCCAATGTTCCACCAGGTCATTCAATAATTCAAATAGAAATATATGCAGCTTAGATGAGAGTTCCAAACAAACTCTATATATTGAGCGGATAGCATGTACCAAACAGATGCAGAAATCATATTCCATCAGAATGTCATCTGGGCTATCAAAGATCCAGAAAACCAATAAGCTGATGTGAACAGCACAGAATCACAGAGACTAAAAAAAAGGAGACTAATACATACTGCTCTTCTTCTTCGTCATATTTGATCTTGGCTTTTCTGATACTCGTGATCGCACCCACAATGTCAGAAGAAACATCCTTAGGAGGACCGAGAAATACTCTATGTCCAGACATGTCCATTAACACAGCATCGCATCTTTGTAATGCCATCTTCAAACACGACAATAAATTTGATGTAGGTTCTGCAAGTTTGCTGGCCACTAACTCCACTGCTCGGTCCTCAGTATCCGACCTCTGTAGCTTTGGAAGTCGTGGGCCATCAATATTAATCACTGAAGCAGAATGAAACCGTCGAATACTGAGTGCTGATGCATCTGGGGATAGAGCTATGTCGGAATCTTCTTCCTTTTCGGAATCATCGAATAAATGGGATTCCATTCGGAGAGACAAGAAAGATCTGATGACTGCTTGCATTAAATTTCGCAATATCTCAACATCTGAGGGCTTGAAGCGGGTAACAGATATATCAAGAACCAAATCTCTGTACGCCTGTGAAAGGTTGACGAAAGTAAATGCCAGCTGTCTATGGACAGCGACTGGCTCTGATTGAGGGAGTTGGAGGCCTTTTTGCATAATTTCAAAGGCATTGTGTAAGCTCACAGCCAATGATCTCGCGCCAGCATCAGGAACCACCTAGATGATGTCAGCGGTGTCTGATGTGGGAGGCAAAGGGTTAATTGAATCCCGAAGATGCAAGTTTTTGCCAAGTTCCAACATGTGCAAGACTCGCAGAGTCAAATAACAACAGTCTCACCGACAAACAAATTTCCCGGGATAATTCTGAAAAGGATCTTTACTTACAACACAGCACACTATGAGGGCAATAGCTTGGCCAAATAACCATGGTATGCCATATTCAAATAGCACCCTCCAAGCAATAGTCTCAGAGGTATCGGCAAGACAGGTATATAGAACCGCCATCCCAGCACATAGTACCAGTTGGTACAATCTTATGTAATACGAACGGAGTGCCGCGATCATGCCCATGAAAACAAGAAGGAAAGCGGCCAGAATTCCTCCATATCCTCTTCTGGCAACAGCCGTAGAATCTGATAGCCACAGCGCAAAAGCCCCCCACCCTAATCCTCCCGCAGTTCCAACAATCGTTAGTATCGCTCCATCAATCTGAGCGCCAACACTTCGACCTGAATGGTTGATAATTGTCGATATGACCATGATGTAATTGTAACGACCGAGCCAATTTCTGATAACGGGAACCAGACACAAAATATAAGAAATAAAGAAAGGCAGGAACGATTTGATGAGCTTGATGCCAGCTCGTGTAGTCACCAATTGTTTGGAAATTTCCTTGATTCCATGCCATTGTCTTGGGAAGAAACGCTTCAATGACAATGGATGATGTTTCTTGAACCCCGCTGGTAACGTGAATTCTGCATCTTTCATGAGCTCTTCATGACTTATTTTCGGTGGCTTAAAGAAGGCAGCATCGAAAAATCCATCTCTCAATTCTTCAACGCCATATGTTTCGAGATCTAAATTATAATCTTGTAAAAGATCCGACAGGTGACTCATGTGACTATGACTGAAACTGAAACTGCTTCTGGGAGAAGCTGGGTTTGATGTTGGAGGACTTTTGATAGAACCAGGTCTTGAACCAGCCAGAGATCTTGATCGTCGTGGAGTATATGATCCCATATATATACTGGCAGCTGGCGACTTTGCTTGACTTCCTTCTGGTTCTTGTACTCGAATGTGTCTGTCATTAGTATGCGATTTAATATTCACGACAGGCTTGTGAAGCCTTCGACGAATGTGCGATCCATCATCTGCTGCTGTAATTGACTCCCTTCGACCAAACCTGGGAGCGAAGGATGGAGTAGAGAAGATTATATGAGGAGGAGGAGGGGATGATGGAGGGGATGATTGATTGTTATCTTCACTGTCTCTGGTGGAAGCCATTGTGGCTGATGGAACGGAGAATAACGAGAAACTATGACGCAAATGAGACTATTCAGATGCATTTCCCGACTCAATTGAGAATATGGGCAAAACAAAGAGTGCCGGTAGTTCCAAGGAATAGGAGAGTTTATATTTATAAAATTTCCACCTTTAATGTCTCCACTAGGTAGAAAATAATATGGAGACTTGGGATTCATTTCGATCTTCCGTCTTTGGGCGGTATGAAGGAAAGTTAAAAGCTTCATTATCGGATAACTCTATCGTAATAAGAGGAATATCCACATTGGGCAATCAAAAACAATCTGCCTACCAGGTAGGTACGAATTCAGGTCCTGTTTTCTTTTTTCGCAAGTAGCCCGCCTGTTCATGAACCTCTTATCGAATCATACCAACCAATCATTCGCCACTTGAATTTCAAACCAACCGTTATCGCTCAATTCTCAATTGTTCTCAATTCCAACATCGCTGACTAATAAGACCCACCGCGGTCACTCAAGTCAAGCAGTGCAGTTCACCGGTGGTTCGAGCATTGATGACTAATAACTTCACAAGGGTGCTTTCCTGATTACTGTATTATGCACGTGCTGAATACACTAACTACGCTAACCTAACGAGCCCTGTCCCAAGCTAAGCAAACGCACACCTCCTGGGAAATATCTCCACTCTCCACATCATCCATTTCTCGATATCCCAACCTTTTATATCAGACTTCAAGATTGGTTCATCCAAGATGAGTTCCGCTACATTAAACGGTGTAGGCTCTACCCTCAAGATGTCCTCTTCAAAAGTTATCGATTTGGTGTCTGATGAGGAAAATTCGGAAATTGATGATGCACCGCTCCACGGTGTTGTTCGAGGTATTTCACGTGGCATACCGCAACACCACCAAAATGCAGCGTCGGAGGATCTCGAAGCGGCTTTGGATGCCAATGGAAATAGTGTAGGAGACGAATTCGAAGAAGAAGATGATGACGATGATGATGGTGGTGAAGATGACGATGATTCTATTGATAGTAGCTTTATAGAAGATGCTATTGAAGCTTTAACTGATGATAATATACTTGATGATCGTAAGTTCACCCCCTATCTTCTGATCGTCAAATATGCTAAAAATAGATATCAGATTCTGATCCTGAGCGATGCACTCGCAAGGAAAGTCAGCATTATCGTAACTTGCTTCGAAAACTCGGGCCCCGAGAATTCTGTGCAGTTACTGTGGAAGCGGACGCTATTACCGCTAAAAAGCTCTTGACTGCGTTTGGTGTCCTCCCACCGATGCACCTTGAAGGTCTACCCGATGAAGACTACTATCAGTTTCTAAGTTTCGCTATACGCCGTGAATTGCAGAAACGTATAAAAATTCCGACGTATAACACTGTCGACGATGCTATAGACCTCATTAGAAATGCCAAGAAAATCATTGTCCTCACCGGCGCTGGTATTTCCACTTCTCTTGGTATACCCGATTTCAGATCTGCAAATGGACTGTATGCACAGTTTGGACACTTGAATCTCAACGATCCTCAGGAGATTTTCAACATTAATAAGTTCAAAGAAGACCCGTCAATTTTTTTTAGTGTTGCAAAGGCCATTCTGCCAGAAATTGTTCGATACTCCCCAACCCATCAATTTATTGAACTCTTGCAGAGGAAAGGCAAATTGCTCACCAACTACACACAAAATATTGACAACATCGAAGGCCTTGCGGGAATAGATCCAGAAAAAATCATTCACTGCCATGGATCGTTCGCAACCGCCACGTGTCAAGTTTGCGGACACCGGGTAGAGGGCGAGAAAATTTTCGAAGAGATCAAAGCTGGGGTAATCCCACGATGCAAAAGGGCAAATTGCCATCCTGTTTATCAATCAACTATCCCTCGCAAGCGTAAGAAAAATTCGGTGGGTGGCAAGAAAATGAAAAACGGACAATATAGTGACGACAACGAAAGCGATGATATTCCCGAACCTGGCATCATGAAACCGGACATCACTTTCTTCGGCGAAAATCTTCCTGATGCCTTCACGGATAGACTCAGCAAACATGATAGAGATCAAGTCGATCTCGTCATCACAATCGGTACATCCTTGAAAGTCGCACCAGTCAGCGAGGTAGTTCCATATCTTCCTAGCCACGTCCCACAAATTCAAATCAATCGGGATCCCATTGGTCACCTCGCTTTCGACATCGACCTTGTCGGTTTGTGCGACGTCGTCGTCTCGAAATTGTGCAAGGAACTCGATTGGGAGCTCGACCACCCGATGATTCCCAAGGATCAAGAAATTGAAATTGAGACGCACCCCGATTATCCCCATCGTCATGAATTCAAACAAACCCGCCCCGAACAACCACCGACACAGACACCGGCATCATTAGCTAAGTCGTCTTAGACTTGATCTCCGGAGTCTCGTCTCCGGACACGAAACCACATAATGACATGGCGTCTAGGGAGTAGCTTTCTTCACATTATTTAATTTGCCAATTTGGATGTCCATGGACAAAACCCTTACAGATAGAAAATTTGTACAGGGCAGGCGCATATACATAGAATTTCTTAGGAGTCGGCCTATCACATACTTCATCTGTAAGAATGCGTATCGTCAGAATTTCATATTAATCTCGTAATACATATGTTAGCAAGGGGTTCTGGATGATTGGGGTTTCCTTAAGGATTGCTCATGGAGATACAGGGTGGTATGGGTAGTAAGCATATCAATATTTGAATCAATTATTCAACAAGAATAACGACGACAATCATGCATTTAATCAATGACACGGTGCACACACAACTGTACTCATCAATTTTATGAATCTTCTTTCACATTCATCTGTAATTTTCCCTAATGTGCCAACTTCAAGGCAGGTATAAACTAAAAATCCATTCTTGATTCATCACAGCCCATCTATCCATAAAAAACATCCCTCGCGAGTGCTCATTCGCTATCAATATCTCATTCATATTCATATCTAATTCGCCCAAAACACACTAAGCTGGTATCTTAATTTTTTCTGTTGCTCTTTTCCTCCTCCGCTCACTGATTCATCCATCCCTCCACCTCAGATATCTACACCCATTCTCTCCTCCACCCCCAGCAAAACTTTAAATGTGGTATGTGTATTAAAAAGACCGTCGTTGAAGCTAAAATAAAATAAAAGAATCGAAGGAGAAACGCCATAGTTGTATATTTCTTTCCACCCTTTACGCCGAGTGCTAATGTTGAGTAGCACCATGACTTTCGTAATGAAAGAACGAAAACCAAAAACGATGTCTCAAGCGCTAATGTAAAAGTACATATCTACATAGAGTTTGGGTTCTGTAGTGTGTGTTCAAACAAATGTGATGAATAAAAATTGGTGTTATTCATTGTTTGAAGATTTCTTTGTTGGAGTAGGAATCTTCAACGTCGGAATGTCAGCCGCAGGGACTGGAGAGATTTCCGGGATTTGCGATGGCGGAGCATCGAGATGAGTTGGATTTTCAGTGATGATTGGATCATCCGGTTTGGTGTCTGGGTGAATTTGAATTTCATCAGAAGCTTCGATTTCTGATCTTGCTTTAGAACGTGTGAATCCCATCGCGTCGCTCTCGCCGTAGTTTCTCTCAATCGGAGACCATCCAGCAACACTACCAGCGATGATACCAGCCATGACAGTTGTGGCACCTAATGCTGAATTCGATCGAGATCTGGTGCTTCGTCCACGTTTGCGAGTTTCGGGAGTTGAGAAACCATTCTTGCCAAAAGCGTCCTCTCGGTTGGGATCATCTGAAGGTGTTCCTGGTGCTATAGAATTTTCTCTTGATCGAGAACCACTCCTAGAACGTGGCAACAATTGATCGCGAGTTTGTTGCATAGCGAATTTCAAGTTGTTCAATCGGCCACCCTTGAATTTCTTGAGGAAAGTCAATTCTTCTTTGACATCTGCCAATGGTTTAGGGAATCTGAACTGCTCTTCCTCATCAGAGATGGTAACTTCTGGGTTCTTCTTTCGGTTCTTCAAATAGCTTGGAACCAGCGAGATGAGCAACTCATCAGGGATCAGACGAATACAAGCTCCAACTGGGATAGACAGGAAACCGAGAATGATAGAGTATGCCCATTGAGCTCCATTAAGATGAACCACATTGAAAGCTTTGCCACCAACATAGATGATCATAACTTGACCACCGACCATGACGACATTGATTCCCATGAAAAACCAGTTGCGAGAGACTCCTTCAAAGATGTTGAACTTGTTATCAAGACGACGGTTACTAAATTGAGTCAGTATAGAATTCAAAGTTTTGGGGTTTCAAAATACTTACTTCCATTGATTAAAGATTTGCATCCACACAAATGTGTTGAAGACAAGAGTTGGAATCTGTGCAATTTCACGATCGGATTGATATGAAAGAATGCTTTCAGCGCCGAAGAATAAAAGTAAGGTGATGGTAAGTTGATAAATAGATTCACCAATAATCATTTTCCACATCGTCATGGTGATAAGAGGTGCAGATTTGGGATCTGGTTTTCGGTCAAGAATGCTCGCAGTTGGTGGGTCGGTAGCCAATGCAAGAGCTGCCATGGTATCCATAATAAGGTTGACCCACAACAATTGCACAGCAGTAAGAACAGAAGTTTCGTCCGAACTGGCAACAGCTGAAATGAAAGTTAAGAGAACGGCAGTAATGTTGACAGTAACTTGAAATTGCAAGAATTTCTTTACGGCGTCGTTAACAGCACGTCCCCACATCATAGCCTTGACAATCGAGTTGAAGTTATCGTCCATAAGAATAATAGCAGAAGCTTCCTTTGCGACCTCAGTACCAGCGATACCCATAGAGAAACCAACGTCAGCCTTCTTCAAGGCAGGCGCATCATTAGTACCATCACCAGTAACTGCAACAGTTTCGCCAAGTTTCTTGAGAGCCTTAACCAAATCCTCTTTGTCTTTTGGACTGGATCGTGCAAGGACTTGTAAGCGTGGAATCATCTGCTCCTTCTTGGCCTGGCTCAAATTTCGGAAAGTTGGACCTTCCATGATGATACCACCCGGAGTGTAGATACCACACTCTTCGGCAATAGCTTTAGCAGTGACCATGTTATCTCCAGTAACCATGCGAACAACCACACCGGCGTTTTGACAAATACGAACAGCCTCGGGAACACCATCACGAAGGGGATCTTGAATTCCTACAATACCCAAGAGAACCATATGCTTGAAAATATCATCGAAAACAACTTGATTTTTCTCTCCTTCGATGATTCGAGCGCCCTTGGCAGGCCATCTGTCGAAATCTTTGTATACGAGGGCGATTGTACGAAGCGATCGGGAAGCATAATTGTCAATGAGCGAAGTCAAAGTTTGACGGTTATCATCGGTCATGTGAACGCTGCTAGTGTCCTTAGTTGGGTCGCGAATGATGTCCGAGCACTTTTCGAGAAGAATCTCAGAAGCACCCTTAACGTAGAGCCTATATTTGCCATTGTCAAGTTGTACGACAACTCCCATACATTTTCGGCCTGAATCGAAAGGAATCAATTGTGTGATGGTGGCATTAGAGCGCTCTTGGTCGAGTGAGCTGAGTCCGATGTGTTCCCGCACGAAAAGCAAGAGCGCAGTCTCTGTTTTGGAACCGATGAAGCTGCTTTGACCTTCAACCTCGCCCTCGAAAGCTGTAGAGTTTAGAACAACCGAGTGCTTGATTAATTCCTTGACACTTGGATCCAAAGTGGATACCACTTCTCCAGGAGACATATTATCTGCTTCTCGCTGTGGTTGCTTGCCTTTGTCCACTTGATCTTTATCAAGCGATTCAATTGTACCACCAAATCGAGAGCTGGTTCCCAAGGTTCCTGCAACGACTAACATCTTGTTCTGAGTCAAAGTACCAGTCTTGTCCGAGCAAATAGTAGTAGCATTTCCCATAACCTCACATGCTTTGAGATGTCTAACCAAATTATTGTCCTTCAACATGCGAGTTGTAGCAAAAGCTAAGGCTAATGTGACGGCAAGCGGTAAACCTTCAGGGACGGCGACCACGATGATGGTAACTGTGACGATGAAAATGTTGAGAAATTCTTGACCCTTTTCGGTTGGGGTATTGTGGTTCTTAGGGAGACGGACCAGAAATTCGATAAACAGGACGATGAAGAGAAGTAAACCAGCAGCACCACCAAGTTTTGCAATGTATTCGGCGAGTGTGTTCAGTTTTGTTTGGAGAGGTGTAGACTCAGGATCTTCTCGGAGTGCAACCAATGTCTTTCCATACATGGAGTTCACCCCTGTAGCTGTGACCATAAATGTTCCAACTCCCTCACTGACCTGTGCTCCTGAAAGAATGAAAGGATCCAATTTCCTCAAGCTGTCGTGATTTTGAATTGCATTGTAGACATCATCAGCTGGTCGCTTTCGGATCAAATCGGATTCTCCAGTTGTCTGAGATTCATTGCATACAACATTGTGTCCTTCGATGAAGATACCATCCACGGGAATCATATCTCCTGGTTCTAGATGCATAACATCACCAACCAAAACATCGAATACCGAGATTTCCACAGTTTTTCCAGACCGAATCACGTTCACATCGCGATCTTCCTTTTTCTTATTAAGTTTGACGAATTGGCGTTCCTTTTGATAATCGTTAAGAGATCCCACAATAACCACAACCAGAATGGCTACTATGATAGCAACACCTTCGACCCATTCGATAGGAGGATGTTCTGAGTCGTGTTTCGTTCCAAATGTCTGATATAGTCCAACACCCAATGATATCGCGGCTGCTATCGACAGCAGGATCAGAACCTTGTCATTATACGTAATCCACATCAATTCGAAAATACTTTTGCCTTTCTTCTCGGGTAATCGATTATCCTTGAAGACGCGTTTTCGATCAGAATAAGCACCCTGTGCTTGAGTATTCGATTGACCATGTCCAGACCCTGTTGATGGCAACGAAGACACTTTGGTAGCTATTGGATTCTTCGAAGACTTCGATTGTTCGCTGAGATCTGGTGAATCTCGAGATGCGGCAGCTCTTGCTTCCTCGAAAGATATCGTTCCATCTAATGACTGCTCGTCCACACTCAAACCACTTCTTCGATCCGTCCGTAATCCCTTTTCTAATCCTGCAAGACCTCCGAGGGCGTAGAAAGCCGCCAAACTTTTACCATTGACCAATTTATTAAGTTGTCCTTGAGAGAATCCAAAACTGTTGTTTTCAACTTCGAAGTCCTCTTCAGTTCCTAGATCCGGCTTCAAAGCATCCGGGTCATTCATTATATCATTATTTCCATCCAACTCTCTGTGTTTATCCATCTGTCCTGCGTTTGAACCTCCAGCGTAAGTGTCTCCACTGTAATTTGTATTTGAATGGTTTCCATCGTCAGATTCAATCGAGTTTTGTCGTGAT